AGGGCGGTCCTGTCACCGTCCTCACTGCACAGGTGAGGCACGGGAGTTGAGAAATGAGGTCACTTACGCAGAAGATCAGAGAGCTGGACCACAGCAGATGTGGGGCCCAGGGCCAGTGGTCTTCCGGCAGCAGTCAGAGGTCCCTCCTAGGAGGTGGCGACACAGAGCTACACAACAAGCATGTGACGACAGCAGCACTTCAGTCGTGTAAAAAGCACGCCAAGTACCGCTGACCGAGCAAGTGCGTCCCTGCCCCGACCACCGTGCCTCTCCTCTAACGCTGGCTCTCCCCTCGACGCCTCCCTCCTGGAGCTCCGCGTCTCTGAGGGCCCCCATGCCTCCCCTCCAATACAGCCCCCCTCGGGCCGCGTGGCGCTCCTCTAACCTCTCCTCCAAGGCGCCGTGATTGCTGCGGGACCAGGTTTACAGATTAGGAAACAGAAGCACAGAGCGTACGTGACGCACCCACCTAGTGCTCGGGCGGGAGAGCTGGGATGTGCTCTGAGGCGGTCTGACCTGGGGCTGTGGACTCAGGCCCGGCCTCACAGCAGGAAGGACGCTGCTTCCGCCCAGCGGACGAGCACTGAGCACCAACTCCGTGCCACGCACCGTTCTGAGCACGTGCCTGTGCGGCTTGGAGTAAGCATCGCGGGGCCGGGGGGCTGACAGTGGTCCCTGAGTGGCCAGCCCAGCTGCACAACGCCTCATTCAATGAGGCGATTACTCCCTTCACTTCCTCAAGAGTTAAAGAAACAAAGCAACAAAAAAGCCTTCTGGTGATCAGCTAGATTTCCCAAGGGGGGCAGAGGAAAAGGGGGTTCGAAGGACCACAATGGCCTCCCAGCCCAGGCAGCAGGAAACAGCGGCTCACTTCTGTTCTAAAGCCTCCGCAGGCAGGACTCTACTGTTCACGTGCTCTCATAGTCTATCAACTATCGCCCTGCTTCCCCACAGCCTTCCTCTCTGAGCAGAGGGTGGATGTAGCCACTTCCAAAGAGGATGTCCCCAAACAAAGTCCTAAGTTGTGACAAAAAGCAGAAGTATTTCCTCTTGTGCAAGGGCCCTCAAACTCCAATATCTGTTCACACAGACGGGCCATATTTCCAGGGTTTCCTCAGAGCAGTTCTGCGAGCAACAGATGTCTTCCAACCCAGTCTCAGTAAAGACGGAAGTATTTCTCTAGACTCCGTATCCTTCTCCTCATGGGGGAAAACTCATGTTCTCCATAAAATGTATGCCATAACCAACAGATAAGCTTCCCGTTAGCTTTAAAAAGCCTTCTGACTCTTGTTCGTAACTGGTGGACTGTAAGGGCTACAGCCACTGTGAAGAATTTGGCAGGATCTACAAAAATCTCACGTCCGTTTACCCTTTACATAGAAACTGAGATTCTAGAACGTATTCCCCAAGATGCACTGGTAAAACAGAAAATGACTTGTGCCTAGGATTATGCCTTGTGGTATTAATATTCAAAGCAAAAGACTGGAAGGAACTCGGTAGCCATCAGTCAGGGGCTGTATCAGTCACGACACACTGACCCAGGGACTACTACTCAGCTGTCTCAAGGGATGGGAGAGAGTTTCATGAACTAGTAAGAATGAGTGATCTCTGCGCACATTTCTCAGTGACAAAGCGAAGTTCAGAACATTAGATAGAGGATGTTACCTTTCAAGAAAAAAAGAGAATAGAAAAATTTATACTTATTTGCTGATACTTGCAAAAAGAAACACCAAAGGATAAATCAAAAATGAATTTTAAAAAATAGTGATGGGGTGCCTGAGTGGTTTGGTTGGTTGAGTGTCTGGCTCTTGGGTTCAAGGTCCAAATTGGGCTCTATGCTGACTGTGTAGAGGCTGCTTGGGATTCTCTCTCTCCCCCTCTCTCTCTGCTCCTCCCCTGCTCGTGCTCGGTCTCTCTCAGAATAAACTTTAAAACAAATTTTAAAAGTAATAATAATAAATAATAGCTATAATGATGGAAGGAGAGATTCTGACGGGGACAAAGACAGAATGAGACTTTTACACTTTTTACAAAGTTTGCCTTTGAAAACTAAGTGCTTCACATATTCAAAAAAAACAAATCAAAAAGAAGCAAAGCAATCCTTGTAGAGACAGTAAGCAAACAGAGGTTATCTAATTGTAATTAAATTGCTGGATCTACAGAGGAAAATGGACTTCCTTCAAGTGCCCTCAGAACATGGTAATAGCACATCTTTAGTGGGATTTGGAGAAAGAGAGCTCTCAGAAAATCTTAAATTCCATTCAGTATTCTGTTAATAAGAATACTAGTATCATTTTACAACTTTTATATACAGTAGAATGGCGTAAATAACCAATAAATACTGTTATGAACCAAGATCCATACAAGCACACAAGAAAGCAAATCTAGCATGTGGAACATTCTGTAGGACAAGTGGCTCAGAGACAGAAGCATTAAAGAAAGGAGGGGTCTTAGATTGTTCTGAATTATGAAACTTAAGAGACCTCACAACCAAAGTTTAATGTGGACTCTGATTTGAACAAACCAACTCAAAAAAGGCATTTTTGAGACAATCACAAAAGTATGATTATGGACTGGGTGGCAGAGGCCACACGGAATTGCTATAAATTTTACAAGTTATGCCAATAGCACTGTAATTATGAAAAAAATTCCATTTTTAGAGACACACTCTAAATACATATACATATGATTTGTATATGGTAATTTTAGAGGTGCATACTCCAAATATGTATATGTATGATTTGAATATGGTAACTCAATTTATTATTTTCTTGACTTTTGAATATCTCAGAATTTTCATAAGTTAAAAAAAATCCCATTTAATACATGTGAAATATCACCACTCTAGAACACTTCCACTAAAAGTTACCAATGTGACAATTTGCTTTTGTTCTAAATCCAGCCACCAGTGCAGCTATTTCTAGGAGAAAACTACACCATAGGTTATAAAAAAATTCCTTATGATCAAAATTTACACAAAAACTCATGTAACAGGTAGAGATTATTTGTACATAAAAATTATTACAGTTAACCCCTGAGCAACTCTGAAATGCATGGGTCTACTTATACATGCATTTTATATAGTATTGTGCCGTAAATGTTATTTTCCCTTCCTTATAATTTTCATTTAACTTACTTTATCTTAAGAAAATCATGTATTGGGGGGGCGCCTGGGTGGCTCAGTCGGTTAAGTGTCCAACTTCAGCTCAGGTCATGACCTCACAGTTTGGGAGTTCAAGCCCCACATTGGGCTCTGTGCTGACAGCTCAGAGCTTGGAGCCTGCTTCAGATTCTGTGTCTCCCTCTCTCTCTGCACCCACCCCCCAACTCATGCTCTGTCTCTCTCTCTTTCTCTCTCAAAAATAAACAAACACTTAAAAAAAAAGTTTTGGGGAGTCTAAAGCTATACACAGATTTTCAATGGTGTGGGGTATGGGGGGGGGCGGGGTGCTCGGTGCCCTTAACCCCAGTGTTGTTCAGCATCCATTGTGTTTCTACTTCCTCCCCGGGTACTGGTTTAGACATCAAGAAAAGCCACACTTATCTGTAAACCATGGGGCCAAATCCAGCCCAGTGCCTGCTGTAAATAAAGTTTTATTGGGACACGGCCACATCATTCACTACTGAACTGCCTGTGGCTGCTCTCATGCTCTGACAGCAGAGTAGAGCAGATTAAACAGAGATCCTATGGCCTCAAAGCCTGAACTATTTACTGTCTGGCCCTTCACAGAAAAAGTGTGCAAAGGTCTGCTCCAGGTCATCTCTGGAAACCAATCAGGATGCCACCAAAAAAAGGGGCTCTTGCTCTGAGCTCCGACACGTGAGCGGGTCACACACGGTCAGACCCGGGTGAGGCAACGCCATGTGGGGAACATGCAGCTGACTTCAAATTCCAGATGCATTCTTAGGGCCAAATGGGCCCAAGGGGCTCCGAGGAAAAAGGACAAGGAGGCATGAAAGGCAAAAGTACTATGAAAATGCAAAGCGATCAGTCTTATGCAAGAAGCTTTAGCTGTTGTCATGGGTCAGAGTATGGATCTGCAAAGTTTCAAGCTGGAAGGCTCTCAGACCATCTCCCTCAAGTATGTGAAGAGAAATCCTATGTGTTGTCTTGTTTACCATCTGTCTCTTCACCTAGAAATCGGGCTCTGGGAGTGCAGCAATCCCCTTGCCCACCACCCCACCCCCGGTGCCTAGAAATGGGCATCTCTGAACATCAGGGTTCTGTGTTTCCACCACTTAACAACGCAAGGACTTTGACCACCATTTACTGAAAACTGACTACCCCTCCACACCTCTGCCTGCCCCGAGGTTCAAAGCTGTTGGTGGCAATGCTTAGATTCTACAGCTCCAAATACTCTCACCGCCCTGAGAGAGCATGAAATACGGCGCTTGGACTAACTCATCCTGCTCTATAAAATCCTTTCCATTCTGGAGAGCGAGAAGAAGGAAAGAGTATTTATAAGCTGACACCTGAAACTTAAGCGTAAAAATTAAGTATCCTTGGTTCAGGGAAAGATGGACTACTACTCAAAGTAGTGACTTAGAGCTCAAATTTCTGGTGTAGTTTCCAAACAGGGTTGAAAAGATGAAATGGTTTATGTTCCGACCTGTGAAAGGCAGCAAAGAGTCAGAAATCAAGAAGGTGGGAAGCAGGTTGGTCTGTAAGGGGTGAAGACTGAGCACCGACCTTTTCTGGCATCTCAGCCCCACCCCTCCCTGGGAGGGGGGAGGTGCCTGAATATTCATGGTCCCCTGCTGAGGACATATTCCTTCCAAGCCGGCCAGGGAAGGGGAGGAAGGAAGTGCAGACACAGAAAACACTCTTGCTGGTGTTTTCCCAAGAGCCACGAGCCCCTGTGCGCTGGAGCAAGAGGAGCCCTTCTCTTCCCGCTCAGGAGCCTGTTCCAAAGGCCTTCCCAGGCCACAGACTGACCCCTCGTTCAAACGCATAAACTGTGAATGTCGCTAAGTTAACTTGTGCTACTGGTTCCTCTTACCCCAGCTAAAGTCAAGATGTTCTCCAAGGACTTGGTCATGATGAGACGCTTCTTGGCACGAGTTACTGCGACGTACAGTAAATTCCATTCATCCTCAGAAAACGACTCTGAAGAAAGTAAAGGGAAGAAGTGGATCAACTCAAAAGCCTGCTTACAACAACATACGTCTGCATCTAAATGTTTACCACCCCTCCATGCTCCCCCACTAACAAAAACCGCTCAAGACTGGCTGGACGTATACACAAAATTTTCCTACAAACACCACCTCCAAAAACAAACAAAGACCTAAAAGACTTGTGGCACGAAACGCCAAGTTTTAATTTGTGCAGCTGCTGGTACATCCCAGGATCCTGCTCACTAGTTACTCAACACCCGTGCTGTGCCCGGTGCATGTTTTCATCCACTCTCCCAGTTCCCTTCATGACAGCCAGGTGGCACTGATGGGGGAAACTGAGGCTCGCAGAGTTCAAGTCACTTTGACACACAGGCCAAGGCTAATAAGCAAGTGCCCAGGAGCCGAACCCAATGCTACTTATCTCCAAAGCCCACATTCTTTCCTTTTCCTGACACCGTCCCTCTCCCTTACTCAGTCCAAGCTGGAAACGTCTTGGGCTGGCACCGGACGAGCAGGGAAGAATCACACATTACGAGGCTTTCCCGCCTGCCTGAAGCCACTCCCCTCACATTCACAACAGCCAACACAATGCTGGGAGCTCAGTACTGAGCGGCTGAGGTGTCAGTACGTGTTAGGCTGTTACACTGTGTGCCTTAAATGGGTAGACTGTATAGTATGTGAATTACAACTCAATAAAGCTGTTATAGAAAAACCAAAAATACACATACGTGTTCAATGACCAGCAAGGGAGAAAAAAAACAAACAAATAAAGAGTAGCATATTAAATAAACTCTTCTTCCCCAGTATCGAGCCACTCTTATCTCTCAAGGGCCCTTCCTTGCCTCCCTCTGCTCTAATTTATCTTCAACACCACGTCTTTCTATAACCTAACGAATATATTCATGGCAGATAAGGAGTTTCTAGTATTTCTATTTGCACCCCACCGATGTACCCTATGCCCCAGATTCAGAGTTCACAGTTAATGAAACGTTTGTTTGCAGAAAAACTTCACATGGTTTAATTCTACGATTCAAAACCATAATAACTGCACTGATGCTCAAAGCATAACAAATAGCCTTGAGTACAAATTTATATAAAAAGACGACACAAATTGCTTGCTTTTTCACCTTTTAGGATTTCCTGGCCTCTTTAAGAAAAAGGGGATTTAATTTTAAAAAACACTTGGGTGAGCAGGTCGCCTGTGTATGTTAAAGCTTAAATGAGGCTGGGCGTCGGGTATGCGGTGGTGAAAATCCCAGAGCTGAGAGGTGGTATGGGCAGAACAGGCCGGCCGTGGGCACAGCCATCCCGCCAGCAGCCCTGGGGGATGGGCCAAAGATAGGCTTTTCGAAAAACACAGTACAACAATAAAAAACCACAGAACTAGAGCTGTTTTTCTTCTAGAAGGATCCTGCCCAGAGCCCATACAACAGAAAGCAGGCCATCCAGAGGAGGTGCCCGGCCCCCCCTTCCCCCACCCCACCCCCCCCCCACGCACAGGCTCCTCACCAACTCTGAAGTGGGGCAGCTGTGCAAGGTTGTGCCTGGCGCAAGGCACTTTCACAAAATCGTCCAAAACGTGCACAGTGTCAAACTCCAAGCCTTTGGCTTTGTGTACAGTGCCCAAAATGTACTCTGGAACAAACAGAGAGCGTACGATTAGATGGGGGCCTGGCAGGGGAAGGACCGAGACGGGAAAGGAAAAGCGTGCTCTCTCTGCTTTACTCCTAAAACCGACGTTCCCTCACCCGTATGTTGCTCTGCAGGGAAAGAGGAAACAACAGTTGGGGGGGGAAAAAAAGAGAGAGAAATAAAATGGGGGGATGTAGCAAATTCACTGCAGGCGAGCCAGTCCATCAGAATCACACCCCCGGGCCCACGGGGACCTGCCCACCCCCACTCTGCCGGCGAAAGGCCAGAGGCCCACGGGAGCGCTGGGCAGCCAGCCCGGGCTCACACACGGGGCTGAGTGCAGACACGACCCAAGCGCAGGGCCCCCAGCAACAGCCCCTCTGCTCCCTTCCTCCCAGGAGGGGCCGGGAGCACAACACCCTCGTGGCCACATGGGATTCCATGCAGGAAGTCGACCACCCGACCCTCGTCCCGCCAGGACGAGAAGAGGCCGTGCCCTCCTTACCTGCGAAGTCCAGGTCTTCTATGTGACACTTCTCTATCCTCTCCACCAGTTCTGGAATCCTGATGTTATACTTCTCAACGACTGCAATCTTGGCCTCCAGCTCCTTATCCTCAGCCACGGTCACATACCTCTTGAAGCCACTGAAGCCCTCCTTGTGCACCCATCTTCTAATAAACTTGTCTTTAATGACGAGGTTCTCTGAGGAGAACACGCACTCGGGTTAACACGACGGGGCCGCACTAGACTGCGGCATCATAAGCAAACGTCTCGAAGCTGTGAGATCCGGGTTCTAGTCCCGACTGCATCACTAACCTGCTGTGTGACCCAGGGCAAGTCAAAAAGGACCTGTACTCTAGCCTCTCTGTCTCCAAACCGAGGCTCAAGAGCCCTACCCTTGGCGTCCTTACCTACTTCACAGGGATGTGAAAAAGCGCAGGACGGGAAAGAAATGCGCTCCAGAGTGTTAGAAAGGATCGTGTGGGGCCCATGCAGAGGTCTCGGTGGTAAAGGTGCCAGGCACACAGAAAGATGGTGAGGGAAGACGGCCTGGGGGACCAACATTAGGCAGAAATTCAGACTCCTGAGAGAAGGGTCTGGAAAGAGCTCTCTGCACCTCTGGAAATTGGAGGCCTCAGGCATCCGGCTCTGGGTGGGAACAGAGCCACGCCTGCTCCATCCTTCTCCAGGGGAAACAAGAGTGCTGACTCAGAACACGCCCAGCCTTCTCCCGTCCCTTGTCACTAGAGCGCTTTGGTCCACTACACCACTGCCAGGAGGGTACTCACGTTTCTTCCGTTCTTCCTCCGGCTGAAGAAGGATCCAAATATCAATGATTCTGTCCAATCCAAATGATTTAATCCCCTGAAAAAGTTTTGTGGTGGGATTTTTGGTTTTTTTGTTGTTCTCCGTGCGAGTTTGTTACTGTCATTGTTTTAACAAAACAAAGTAAAGCAAACGTAGAGATGGGATTTGGGGGTGAGAGGTTTTCTTGGGAACGGATCCCAAGCTGCACCCCAAAGCACACAGACAGAATGCGGGAACCTTCATCAAGCACAGAAGCAATGGGTTGTCATGCAGCCTGAACACTCAGGATTATCAAATGCTAAGTTCCGGCTGCCACCTCTAACTCTTCCAATGTTTAAAAAAAAAGAGGGGGCAAGAACCTGCTGCACGTTGCTTTCTTGTCAAAAAGGGGCAATTTAAATTGTCTACCTTCTAGGGGTGCCTCGGTGGCTCAGTCAGTTAAGCATCCGACTTTAGCTCAGGTCATGATCTCCTGGTTTGTGAGTTCAAGCTCCGCGTTGGGCTCTGACAGCTCGGAGCCTGGGGGCTGCTTTGGATTCTGTCTCCCTCTCTCTCTGCCCCTTCCCTGCTCATGCGTGCTCGCTCACTCTCTCTCTTTCTCTCAAAAATAAACATACATTAAAAAAAATTAAAAATAAAAAAATAAATCATCTATCTTCTAGGGACAGGAACATGGCTGTAATCAAAGATACAATGACGCCTGAATACAAAGTGTGGAGTATGAATATTTACCCCCTCTCTTTGGAGGCAAGAGCTACACTAGAGAATGTCTGCAGGCCCAACCTGTTGCATGTTGTAAAAGGTTAGCTCCTGCAGGACAGGGGCTGATCATATCGTAGTGTACCCCATTCTACCTAACAGCACAAGCTCAGCACTGCCGGGGTACCCCAGCAGAGAAGAGAGCCACAACCAAGGCGCCACACTCCAAGGATGTGCCATCATTTTGGGAAGGGACACATAAGCCATTAACATAAAACAGAGACCAAAATAAGACAGTACATGTTATAGCTGGAAGGCAGATGTGGTCAAAGGTGCTGACACACGCTTCAGACAGCTTGGGGGCACGACAGAGGGACAAGAGCCGCTTACTGTCTACCATGCCCAGCATGGGCAACACTCCAGAAGTGCTATTTTCTTACAATAACAAAAATGCGTGAATTACACTATAACCACTAGATGAGATACTGTAGTCACTCACGTAGCAACATGATAGAAAAGGAGCTTACGTGCGGAGTAAAAAAATGCACGTTTTTATGTACACTATAATTGCAATATGTAGAAATGCATGTCTATAAAGACAAAGACATATGTAGCAAATTGAGAAGTAGTATCTGAAACACTGAGATTAAGGGTGACTTTTTTCCCCTTTAGCTTCTAAAACTTCTGTAACTTGGCTATATAATCTTTATCAATAAAAAAGAAAACTGAACATCTTTTGATTACGATTCACTGACTCTATTTAGTGAGGACCTACACATAGTAGGCCCTCAAAAACACTTTTTCATAAAAGGAGCGAATGTCTTTTAGTCAGCTAACTTTGCCTCCAAGAGTTAAAAATGTCGCACACGTGTCACTTAATCCTAATTTCCCCATGAAACAGGTAAAGGAAAGCATTGTTTTTGTCTCAGAGATGGAGAGAACGAGGCACACAGAAATTGTGACTTGCCAGAAGCCACGCAAAGTTAGTGACAGAACCAGAGCTAGAACCCAGGTGTTCACACTGTTTACACTGGAGCCCGCCAGCGCTCCCCAGCTGTGTTGGCAGCTCACTCATTCTCGGGCTAATGAACAAAACACACACACTCGCAGGTAGCCAGCTGGCGGCCTCATCTGCACAGCCAAGATGAGAAGGGCGTTAATTTTTCAAGAAGTGGAAGGAAAGGTCCTCAGCCATCACTGAGTCTTTATAGGAACGTACGGCTCACATAATCAGAACAGCCAGGGGCAAAGACTTTGGTCCCGGTGCAGGCAGTGCCCCAAACTTGCATAATAATCCTAATTAAGTTGACGGTTTTCATCGGCTATGTCTGTTTCTGAGCATGAAGCAGTCAACAGAAATTTACTCTTACCCCAATCAAATGTATCCTGGCAGGCACTTCTCCTTCGGTCACCCGCACGGCCTCATCAAACACATTGGCATTGGTCCGGGACAACAGGGCCACCTGCCCCTTTGTGTCACCTCTAATGCCACCTTTTGGGAGAGAGTACAAACTGTGGCAAATCCAAATAAACAGGAAAACTAATTTTTGTAGCAAATAAACAGAGGGTAACTGAAGCCTTACTCTGATGGTTTCCTCCGACCAAAGTCTTTTTCCTTACTCGCTTGCAGACATCCAAGATAGTAGCTCCCACATAAGCTATTTCTACACCAAATCTAAAACTCTGCGGGAAAACGACAAAACAAAAGGAGTCAACAACCCCTTCCTGAAGTACGTTAGCATGTTTCTATCACCACCGAGTCCCGGCCTTGCCAAACCCAACTGGTCACCCCCGACACCCTACATGGAAAGGGGATGGGCCGATTCCCCACAGTAAGCCCACTAGGACTGAATGGAAGAATCTTACCACCAAACCATCGCTGACTTGACTTCAAGCTTTCAGAATTGCATTTTTCCATCTCGAACCTTCAGGCTATCTATTTTTCTTTATTCCTTACCCCCAAATCCACACCTGGGAAATTCTCCCACCACGGGCTCTGTACTATTTTTTCCCACCACGGCTACCAGCTCCACTCAGCTCAGCAACCCGAGCTTCCTGCTTCACCCCCTGGGTCTCTCCCTCCTGCTGCCAAGCAAGTCTCTATGCCTCTGACACATGACTCTTGCCCCGCACACTTTCATCGGGCCACACCCTGGCCACAGACACGGAAGAGCAGCACGTGAAGGAAAAGGTGATGCATGCACTTTCAACATCCCTCACAGCCTTGATTCCTTTTATTCCCCAAGACCAGTGGAAAACTTTTGAGCAAATCTACCCTTCCTTCCAAATCAAATCTAATGAAAACGTGTAAACTACACAAAAGATGGAGGCAGGGCGGGGGGGCTTCTCCCCTTGCCTCGGAGACTCCCTAACATTAATTTAAAACCACGGCCCCACGCGGCCGGCCATCAGTAGTAGCTTCCCTTCTCGAGCATTCCCTGCACCTCCCTGCCTCCGCACACGGCAGAACAATTCCCCACCCTTCAAAACCTGGCCCCATACCCAACACTTCCTTGATCACTGCAGCTAGAAAGACACCACTTGTCTCCAAACTCCTGTATTTATGTATGTATTGCCCTCTTCCAGGCATTTATGACTTAAACACACTACTATGTGCTTCGGTGAACGTCCAGAATGCTGTCGAAGGAAAACACGAGACTTTGAACAAATTATACTTGGCTGCTGCAGAACCATTCGGCGTGAGCCGTGCCCCAAAATCTAACAATAAAATACCCGTGAGTCCATATTGATGTAAACGACTGAATAACTAAAGTGGGAGGAGAAGATAAAAATCTTCTTTCCAGAAGAAATCTAGACAGGTACTGGAAAAGGGAGGATCATTCCAGCTTTTTCAGACAACCAAGGACGCCACCAGTTGTCAGGCTGGCGGTGGCAGACAGGCGTTTTCCAAAATTTTCCTTTCACTTGAAAGCAGGGGTTTTCTCTTTGGCAACAAACGTTTGTCAGCTGTTTTCCTTGAAGTCACAGCCCCCTCCGTTCATTTTTGAGAAAACGCCAAACACCCAAGTCTGTCAGCCGCTCTCTCGAGTCCCAGCGGCGCTACACACGACAGCGCGCCGCTGAGCTCACAACCCGCTCACAACCGCGCCCGTGCGTCAGGGCGGCGCCGTGTGTCAGACGCGGCGGCAGGCACGCTCGGGCGTGACGACAGGGCCGTGCGTCAAGGCGGCGCGGCGCGTCAGACGCGGCCGGCAGGCACGCTCGGGTGTGCAGACGCACCTTCCCCGCCCTCTGCGCTTCGTCACGCAGAATACTGGGGACGTACCCAAGGGCCAGCAGCCAGTCACGTCTGCTGCGTCACCAGGGCACTCTCGAGTGAACCGCTCGTTTGCTTTACTCCGAGTGCGTCACAGGGAAGAATACGAAGACTGCCAGCACCATTTGGTGCCACCCCCTCGATTCACGGGAAGGCGCCGGCAGTGCGAGTGAGAACACGGAGACAGAGGCGCGTAACTTGTGCAAACAGTTTGGACTCCGCAGGCCCCCTGAGCAGCACACGGCACCACGGCGGAGAAGCGAGGATTTGCTACACACCCTGCGCCCGACGGGAAACCCTGCGCGGTGCCTGGCGCACGGTAACCAGCGGAAAACCGAGGCTGGGGAAGCGTCATGCTCGCTTATATGGTTCCGGGGACTCGGAAGCAGAGAGAGCGCTTACCTGTGTGAGATAGAAGACGTGCGTGTGAGGGACTGTAAACAGAGCATTGACCGCACCGCGGAAGGTATAGATCTGTTGATGTGGGTCCCCTACAAAGATTTTCCCACATGGCTGAGACAGAACTATGTTCATGATAGCTGCAACCAATAAGAGGCACGGTAAGAGAGCTGAAGGATGCCAACTCACAGAGCAAAAAGAAACCATATTTACCACAGAAAAAGATGAAAATGCTTTATGAAACTAAGCCAGGGCACTCTGGACAACAGAGTTGTCTTTCCCTGCGGGATACGCAGGCAATGCAAAGAAACAACTGTATCATGGACAAGAGAAACCGTTTCTAATCCTAGGAATGCAGATTATTTTTAGTCCCGGATAAGTGATGGAGTCTTAGAAACCACATTGGCAAATAAAAAAAATGAGACAAATTGCCTTCTCTATGATTATAACCCAAAGCTCAGAAAGGACCTACAAAGTCACACTGTTTTCTATCAGCCACTTGAAAACCACACAACGCACACTTTCCACTCTGAGCTGACTGGCTGTGCCCACTCAGCAGGAGTCTAGGACCCGATCGCCTGATGACCTAGGCTTAGTCAACGTTTTAAGAATAACCAAAGCAAAACATTTACAGGAAAATAAATTTGCTCTCAGTGGGGGGAAGGACAAGTGCTGGAACCCAAAGTCAAATAATGAGGGATTTCCGCATGACTAAATTATCATTTGCTCCTCCACTTTATGACAAATGAGAATAATCAACTTATTTCACATGTCCTCTTACATAATCATGATGTTGTTTCTATGTGTTTGAGACTACTGATGTCCTGAATAGTTTATCACCTGGGGTACAGTCCTGGGCCTCATCCACAAAGATGGCGTCAAAAGAGGCAAGCAGAGGCTTGCTCAGCTGCCAGAGTTTCAAATAGCCTAAAAGAAGGGAGTAGCAGGAGTCAGAACCCGTAAGTGGAACAGTCACATTTAACAGATGTGGAGATCTGGGAACTGGCATACCATCGTGAGTCATTTGGTACGCCTCTTCTTTGCATTCCCCCAGCTTCCGCATGTTGTCCCAGAGTCGGCTTGCTTCAAGGACACCGTTCTAGAAAGCAAGTGATAGGGCAAGTCACGGTTTAAGACCCTCGAAAAGACACCTCCTGAAATCACTTTCATTCCCATATACAGAGGTCAGAGCAAAGGCACCATCACAGCACGGTGAGCAGCAGTCACCTAACCTCCCTCTGGCTCCACGATAGCCTTTGGACAATGTCAAGTGCAGAGATGAGTAAGAAGCTGGGGCCATACCAAGCCCAGTGACAGAACATCGCTCAAAGAGCACAAGATCTGCGGGGTTGGGCGGGGGGCATAAAGAGCACAAGATCTGATGAACCAGAAAAAGCTGGACTAACTCTCTAGATTTATGACTGACCACTAAACCATACAAAGAATGGCTAATAATTAAAAAGACAATAAAAATGAGAAAAGTGATTCCCGATCTGTAGATTCTACATTCAGCAGACCCACTCACTACAAGCTCTCATAAACCCTGGGAGGATGCCACTACAGCAGAGGGATCTGCCACCACAGCAGAACCGTGACAAAGACCTGGTCCGGGCTCCCGTGTCCCTGTGTCTGGGTGGGTATAAACCTCATCTGTCAAATAAAGAGGACCAGTGTGAAGATAAGTCTGTGAGTGCGCTTCACAGAAGACACCGCACACCTCATGGCTATCGAGGCAGGCCTGCAGTCTGACCCTCCACCTGGACTCCCTGCCAGCAGGTTCAAAGAAACGGAAGATAAGCAGAACACTGGATCATGTCAGCTCTGCTCATTTGTCCTAGACCCGTAATATGAAAAACAGTTGGATACTCACCAGCTTTTCACTCTGTTCAACCATGACTCTCTGTCCTTGGCTGTTCTTACACCAGATAGGCACGTGATCAATCGTCAGCTCTTCGTCAGCCGAGGCAAAGAAGTTTTCTAAAGTCTTACACACGAGCTTGGCCCTTATGAATCCGCCTTTCCCTTCAGCAAGGACAGAATTGACCATGAAAGGGGTCAACTTGAAGAGATTCAATTTCTTCTTTAATTGGTACCTGGAATGCATACCCCAGATAAACAGTATTTGACTTTACTGGTAACATGGGATTTAGTGTCTCTCCACTACTCCAACCCCCTTCTCTACAGTGACACCACCTGGCCACCTGGAGTGTCACATATACATGAGGGGTAAAAGAAAAAAAAAAAAGTTAGAGAAGTTTAACAAGGTCCATGTAGGATTTGAAATGGCTTCACCAGGCTTTCAAAAATTCTCACATAATAACCAGAAAGAGGAAGTGGCTCAAGGCAGACTCTATTACTCCATGGTGTGGACCAGACTCCAAGAGGTCTGGGGGGACACTCGAAGCTCCCTGAAGCCTTCACGTCTGATGGTATGCTAGTTCAGAGGCCCCCAGGAGGCCTGGGCGGAGTGCACTTCAGCTGAGATGTCCCCCCTCCCTCAGCCAAGGGAAACATGTCAGTCAGGATGGTGAAAGTCTGCACTTCAGACAAGTCATTTTGACTTTCTGTGCCTCAGCTCCAGAAGAAGGAGGATGCTCACCTCAGTAAGACACTAGTATTTGCAAACAATATATTTTTACAGGGTAAAAGTAGAAATCACTAAATATCTTTGTATTTCCTGCCTTTGAATGGAGAGAAAAGCATTAAATTTTCTTAGTGCTGTTGTATACAAGTTCATATGTAACCATGATGATCACAATGGGAAAAACAGGAATTAGACACAACAATGATGGTGGCGACGCCATGCTCACTTCCGCCCGACGTGTCCATAGGCCATGGAATGAAAGGTTTTGCAGATGACATTGCTGGGGAAGACTAGCTCGGCCTGCTTTGCGATGCTCTTGTTGAATGTCACATACAGAAACCTGCTCTCAGACCACTTCTCAGCATACTTGACCAGGGTAGAGGTCTTCCCGGTGCCTGGGGAAGCCAAGAGGAAAGGAGGTGACCCTCTGACCAGGAATAACTGTTCCAAAGGATGTCCTAATCAAGTCTTATCCATGCTTACCTTGCCTCTTGCCTGACACCAGACAGTGACAAGTTTCTCAATACTGGTAAAAACTAAAAATGGTGCAGTGCAAAGAGGAGTGGATTCTAAGCCAGATTGACCTGGGCTGGGATCATGGCTCTGGCAGGTTCTAGCCGAGCACCTGACCTCACTGACCATCACTTTGCTCCTCAGCCATGTGTGGGCAACACTGACTATGTAGGGTCTGGCAGGATAAAGATAACCATCAAAGATAATCCCAGCCGAGAAGTTCAGTAAGAGTAGCTATTGCTGGCGTAGGCATCAGTAATGCGTCAACAGCAAGAGCACGCAAGAGAGATTCAAGGATGCTTCTGGCCCATTCTGAGCTCTCTGGTGTGCCCTGCCTCTCCACCGTTCACTCAGTTATTCAGTTACCATTCACTTCACAAGTACCTATGAGCACCTACTACATGATCAGCTGTATGCTAAACACTGGGAGTATGTTAAAAAAAAAAACAAAACATAAAGCAAGGTTCCTGTATTATAATCTTGTTGGGAATACAATACTAACACAGTTGAAACAATTAGAACAAAATGAAAGTATGACAACTCAGTAGACCAAAAAAGAATATGAATTTGGAAACAAAAAAATCTCACCTATAAAAGAAAAAAAGAGTAATTCTTTCCCTACCTAACAGGGCTACTGTGAAGATTAATGACACAGTGTGGAAGTATTTATAAAATGTCTGTGTTGGCTATACTTCTTATATAATCAGGTACCAAATAGTTAATACACATGATCAGTTGCTGTAAGAGTTCAGAGATCACGTAGGACTCAAATGGCTAAAGAAGGCTCCATCAGGAAGAAATGAAAATGACAGAGTCAAACACAGCAAAGAAGGGGGTGGGGGGGAGCGAAGGGGAAGGGAAAAAAGCGTTCTGAGGAAGAAACAGATCCAGCTTTGAATTCTACCTCCTCCACTTATTTATTTAACCTGGGGCAAGTCATTTTAATTTTTCTGAGCTTCAAATCCTTATCTATAAAACACAGATAACTAACCAGCCTTATGGAACATTGTTAGGATTCAGCACAGTGCCAGGCATTTGATGAATGGTTGCTGTTGTTTATAGTAGGATATTTAGGCAGAAAAGCAGCAGGAAGGAATCTCAGGTAGAGAAAATAATATGGGCAAAGGTTCAGACAAAAGAATAACCAAGTACTTTAGGAGACTGTAAGTACAATTAATTGACTGAGGCAAGAAAATGACAGACAGCGTATTTAGGAATGTAGGTTAGAATCAAATAGTCAGGGAAGCTCTTAGACTTTGCCCTACAGAAATCAGGGAGCTACTGACACAGGACCTGCCACTCCATGAGCCATCAGTGACCGAGCATATACAATGACAAATGACGAGCTGGGTCAATCCTGGTGGTATCTATCCCACAAACTAATTCCTATGAACTATTTGTCCAACCTAGAACTCCAGTGTGGATGCTCCCTGGATTAAAAAAAAAAAAAAAAAAAAAAAAAAAAAAAAGGCAAGCATTCCCTAACAGCTGCTTCTAAAAGTATTTAATTGTGGGAGTTGGATAAGAGAACGAGGGAAGAAATTCTGGCAGGTACCAGGGAAGGGGGCGTGGGGATAAGAGGCATGAACCTGACTGTAGTCCACGACTGACAAGCTCCCTTACCTGCAAATGCCATAATCTTTACCACCTGGAGGGGTTCCATCTTGTGGTTCAGAATCAGCTGTTGTTCCTGTGTGAGCTGGATGGTTGTTTTCTTGCTATAATCATTACAGAAATTAGAAAAATAGAAAGGAATTTAAAAGACCAGGTGACGGACCGTCACAAAGCAAACAGGCAAATCGGAGAAACAAAATTAACCAAACAAAAGGCCTTCCCCTTGGGGTGATAAAAATGCTCCAAAGCTAGCTTATGATGTTGGTTGCACACTCAGTAAATTTACTGAAAGTCACTGAATTGTACAATTAAAACGGGTGAGTTTTATGTAATGTAAATTATACCTCAAGGAAGCTGTTAAGACAAAACACCTCTCCTCCTTAAGAAAGAATCGAGACTAGAAGACAACACACACACACACACATCCCTATACACATACCCTGGCCAAACCGATGGTTCCTCTTTAACTTCTGCGGCCTGAGTACAGGAATTCTCCTGAAGATACAGGCAATAGAAAATGTTGTAGTGAATCCTAATAGGGAAAAAGCAGATATAGAGATTTTCAAATTAAGTCACAATCTGTATCTTGTTTTCCACAGATGTATTTAGATTCCTTACCATTTCTCAAAAGAAATACCTACCACCATTTTATGGAAATAAAAATAAAAACTAAAAAATAAAACACTTTAAATATACCTAGAACTGACCAAAACACTCGGAAAGCACAGCTCGGGAAAGATGCCTGGCTCCAGTGTGTAATGGCAAAGGAGAGAGAACAGGACGTGTTCTTTGGGGAACAAGTCACTAGCTATGACCCTAAGAGACAACACAAAAGCAGTAAGAACCAGCTGAAAACAAATGTAAATTCTACTCCCAGCAGTGAGATTCTTGTTCAGAATCAATTTAACATCATCTTATCTTTCTGAGACTCCTTTGCTCTGCTCTCTGCTTCTTGTAAGGTGATCACTGGTGGAGAAGCATGAAGAACATTCTATCTTTTAAGGGCCCAAAGGAAGGGTGCTACACAGATAACAAGATATGATTACCAACGACTGAAAACAAAACGGCCTCCAAGTCACCACGAGGGGCCAAAGATGACACAGGGCACCTGCTAGAGGCGACTCCTAAGTCTATGTTCACACCGACCCCAGACTTCACTCCCTCCATCACCAGCTGCCCACATTTAGTGCACCGCTCCCTGCGCCCAGAGTGAGAAGTGATCTCCAAGCAACAAACCCCTTTAATAACATGACACATCAGTCTCCAGTATTATTATCTTCCAGGTAAAGCAGGACGAAATACAGAAACACAACAAAATTCAACACATCACACCCTCCATCCCTTATCTCCGTCCTTGTGAGCATGGAGGTAATTAGCAGGTTCGAATTTGCACTTGAGAACATTATTCACCATTTGTGTATTTGTCTCACCCAAATTAAACATTAAACTCCTTGAGGCGCCTGGGTGGCTCATTCAGTTAGGCGTCTGACTTCAGCTCAGGTCATGATCTCACGGTTCGTGAGTTTGAGCCCTGTGCCGGCGGGCTCTGTGCTGGCAGTTCAGAGCCTGGATCCTGCTTCGGATTCTGCGTCTCCCTCTTTCTCTGCCCTTCCCCCATTCACACTCTGTCTCTCTCAAAAATGAATAAACGTTAAATAAAAAAAAAAAAAAATTATTAAACTCCTTGTCCCATGGTATGGGATACAATGTAAATTATGTTCAATGATGAAACTTAACTCAGAAACACAGCGTATACTGCGACATTTCTGGAGAATGAATGCTCCATCCAACGGGGCCACAGCTCACAGGGCACCACCAGCCATGCCCATGGACTCCAGAGGAAGGAAATCCTCTCTGCACCTTCCGCTTTCCCAGGACAGGTGCATCATCACACCGCCTGTCTCTGGGTCGGTGATCAGGGCCCTCTGACCGCTGCCCTTCACAGCCTGGATTTCATCCTGACTTCTCACTATGGCCCACATCAGCTTCCCTCATCTGGCCACTGTCGGCCTCACATAACCATGTACTGGTGTCCTTATTACAGTCCTCCACACTAGACTGCGTCTGTTCCTTGTAGACACTAACTTCGTTCCCGTCTTTGGGCCCTGAAATGATCTACTCCTTCTGCTAAAACATTCTCCCCTCAAATCTTAATTCAAATGGCCCAGCCCTACCTTGGCATTCAGGTTTCCATTCAAATGTTACTTCCTCAGAGAAGCTTTTCCTCACCCCACGTAACGCAGTGTTCCCCGCCTCCTTTGCCCGCCCCCCAGGTCTTTTTCTTTGTACCGCTTCCCGCTCACTAAAATGTCCCTGTTGAATGCATCTACTTACGGTATCTGGTTCCCCTCCCTAGAACACACAGTCCACAGAGGCAATGATATTGGCTGACTCATTCCCAATGGCATCCCGGACGCCTGAAAAACTAGCTGACATGCAGCAGGTGCTTAAAGTTTGCTGCGTCTCTCCAACCTGGTCTGTGTGCACCTGCCGGCAAGCAAAAGCAGGACGGTCGCTCGGGATCAACAACCCAAGCGCTAGAGGTGATCAGGCAGGCAAGACTCGGCCACGATTCTTACGTCCTGCCCCAATAGACAAACGGAGGAACCAAATCCTAATGCTTTCCTAGGAAAATCTGGCCACTCATGAACGAAGAATTCTTTTAGTGAGGGAACTTTCACCTGAGGCTTCTGGAGCCCTGAACGTCCACTTGCCTCAGTGCCACGTCCCACTCGAACAGCGCTTCCCATCGCAGAGCACCCTTCCCTGCCTCACCACGCGGGACTCCCACACTCCCCTCCTTTCACGGCTACAGAAGCGGGAGCGCGAAGGTGTGCTCTTGGGCTGGAACCCGCAGCAAGCATGGGACCTCTCCCCGCGCCCCGGCCTCAGCTCTGCCTCCCGTCGTTTACCGGTTGCTGATGTTGATCCCCTTCTCCCTCATGGCATAGAGAAGCACGGCGATACAGTACAGGGTCTCCGTGATGTCTGGCATGGTCACGGTGGAGCTGGGCCGCCTGAGGCAGAAGAGCAGCTGCTGGATGTCATTCACACTGCTAGAGAGGAGCACGATGGCCGCCACCAGAGCCCACACGTTGACACCCTGCGAGGGGAGGGGAGAAAAGACCCAGAACACAATTACTAAAACCACGGCACACAACCAGTGAGGAAAGCCGAGCCTGGGGTTTGGCTGCCATCTCGAACGGCCCGAACTGAGTGCAGACTTCCCACACGGCATTTGGGAAACCATAGGAACCTTTTCTTTCACCCTAGACTCCTTTCTTCTCACCACTTTTGGATCTGAGTTCTTAGTTTTCTCTACTTAGGAAACATTACTAAAGGACCTAACGTAGGACCTTGCATACTTGCATAGAGAGGACGCTCTCACCTCCCCACCATTCCTGGCCCAGCCAGTGCAAGCTCTCGGGTCCACAGAGACTCAACAGGGTCCAAGCAAGCACACATGACATGGGTACCCACTTGGGAGGTACCACGGAGCAGAGACACAAAAGGAGACGGCAATCTTTAGGGGAGAAAATCAAGACTGACAACTCTCTGGCACTAAAACATTACTACTACTTACTTCGTGTTATTCTTTAATAATTATTAAACTTTAAGTTAAATATTAAGTAAATGATTGACAATGAATCATGATGGGCACAGCATGCCGTAAGGATCTAAGAAAATGTTCACCAACACGGAAACGATCAACCCTAGACGTGCATCTTTCTCATTATCTCGCCACACATCTCTTCACTCCAGCCAGCCCGAGAAAGAAATCTCACTCCACCATCACCAGCAACCACTTCAGCAAAGCCAGAAATGCACATGGCTGGATCTCCACCCATCTGCTGGTTGCAGAATACAGGCTGAGGTTGCACGTAGCTTCCAACAGAAAATTTAAGAATTCCTGATCTAGATAAGGAGCCATAGGACTGAGTCAGGAAACTGAAGACTATTTCTAGCTTCCCACTGACTCATGAGTGTCTGTAGTCAGAACCTTAATTTCTCTGGTCCTTTCAAATAACCCAGTTGTTGGCAATGAATGGGCTACCTTGTAAAGAAATCCTTATTAGCCACAGCTTTCAGAGGCCAGATGACCACTTTCTGTTGAAGATTCTTCACCAGGATGGGAAATCAGATAAACGTTCTTAAAATTCCTTCATCATTCCAAAATGACGAATCTATAACAACGTGGTCTGTTATTTCCATAATGGGACCAATGAAAAGACTGAGGCTTCAAAGCAGAGATCAAAGAAAGATTTTGAAAATAAATCTAGAATGATCTTCAGCCAAACCCAATCACCAATACACTTCTTCCAGCGAGACAAGGTGCTCCATTCGCCAGCAACTCCCCACAGCCACTTCACTTACCGCAGCAGCCGCGTAGAGATCGGGGAGGTGCTGACGCACGCAGGCCTCTGCCTCAGGGAGGAGGAGGTGATCCCTCAGACTCCACAACGCCCGTCCAGGATCCACGCTTGGGGAGCACTTAGTGGTGGCTGTATAGCTGTACGACATTCACAGCAGAGTCGGTGAGAAAGGTGACCCTCAGCGCTAACGCATGGGAAAGGACTTCAGAGACGGCCTTCTTCCCAGAATAAAAGCAACTCACCGGATGAGGTTGAGCACACACAAGTCCGACTCCTTCTCTATACCGGAGTTCAACAGGATGCCATCCACTTTGCTCACGGCTTGTTCTTCATTCATCAGGTATCGGTAATACAGCTTCTTCCAAGGAATGAACTGAATAGTTTAAAAAAAATCCAAAATAACACGCAGGCAATGGCTACAAGACAGCAGATGAAGCCACACACATATAAACAACCTTCTAACACTTGAAAAGCACTTAGAGCTCACAATTCAAAAGCTGGGCAGGTAGGGTCGAAACATTATGCACGTTTTGGTTGGAAACTAGGAGAACTGGGCCCTGGTTTCAGTTCCAACACCAACTTGATAATAGAATCCAGGGAAAGCTAATGCTTCAATTTCCCTTATCAGGACACTAGTATCTCTGAGTTTTAAAGAAGACCAAATAATATGCGAACCATGGCTGTACTAGTATCAGACAAAAATAGAGTCTACGTCAAACACTACTCTGAGAGAAAGAAGGGGATTACATTAAGATAAAAGGGCCAATTCACCAGGAAGATAAAACAATCATAAATATATATGTGCCAAATATCAGAGCTCCTAAATATAGGAAACATAGACAGCAACATAATAGTCATAGAGATTTCAATACCCCACTCTGAAAAAGGAACAGAACAATCTCTGAGCTTGGAGCCTACTTCGGATTCTGTGTCTCCCTCTCTCTCTGCCCCTCCCCTGCTTGAGCTCTTTCTCGCTCTCAAAAATATATAAACATTAAGAAATAAATGCCTTTAAAAAAAGAGAGAGAGATTCCAATAACTGAATCAGAAATGAGGGAGGGGACATTACAAGTGACATCACAGACATCAAAGGGCACGAACAATTGCACATCGATGAATTGGACAATCAAGAAGAAATAACAACCTAGCAAGGCTGACTCATGAAGACACAGAAAATCTCCACAGACTAATAATAAGTGACTGAGTCAGTCATCAAAGACCCCCAACAAATAAAAGCCCAGGACCAGATGGCTTTGCTGGAGAATTCTCCTGAGCATTAATTCTTTTAGAAGAATTAGTATCCTTTCTTCTAAAACACTCCAAAAAAACTAAAGAGGAGGGAGGACTTCCAAACGTATTCTATCAGGCCGCCATCACCTTATACGAAAGCCAGAGAAAGACAGTGTGAGCCACAATAACGAAAGCTGTTACAGAAAACCGGAAATAAACACATCATGTCATTGTTAGCAATGATAAAAACAGCATCAGTCTAACATTTCATGAGGTGAGCGTAAGCCAGGATATCTTTCCCCAAATCTTCCCGAGCAGAATGGACAAAGCCCTCGCTTATCCCCATCTGTGACTCTTCAGTTCGCGCTAGAGACATCTCAATTTAGTGGGTAGAAATACTAGGACATTGAGTTCCCATCTAAAGGCGGAAAGACCAAAAAAAAGTGGGGGGGGGGGCAGAAAGACAGTTCTCAGAAAGGAGACAAGACCTCAAGCAAAGAATGAAGCAAGGGCGACATGAAATTTCCACCCAGATCTTGCATGCTTAGAAGGAAAACGTACTAAGTCTGGATACGTGCATCTCTCACTAAATGCCTAAATTTCCAAACTTCGCTACATTTGAAGGCAGAGTTCATCTTCATTTCTGTGGTTTATCTGCACTGGCTAGTCTAAGGGACGTATAAGCCAAGCAAAACATACTCCCAGCCCTCAGGTTTGCCCTTGAACCTGCACCTGGGACGGAAGAAGGGTACCTAAAGCCCAAGCAGAAGGGCAGGACGAAGTGAGCGGCAGGAAGTCTCTTCTGAGAGCACGGGCTGCCCGCTGTATCAGCCTCAAAAGGGACACCGGGGTGATTCCACGCAAGACTCATTTATGAATCACCTACCGTATGTAAAATATCATGGGCACGGTGCAGAATGCAAAAACAAACAGGACCAGAGCCTCCCATCCATGAGCCAACAATGCAAAAGGAAGAGGAAGTTTCTCTAAAACATAACACAGATGCGATAAGCCTCAGACAGAGGGAGAGACTGCTACAGAAACACAAGGAAGAGAAAGTACGAGATTTCCATTTCACTTTTCAAGGAGTGAAGCCTCAAAGACATAAGACCTCGAAGACGTAAGACCTCGAAGGCGTAAGACGCAAACAGAGACAGGAGGGGCCCTTTCCACGGGGTGGGGGTGGGGAAGCGGCTGGACCACCCAGCAAAGGGTAAGGAATATGCAGTCGATGCTCACGATGCAGAAAGCTACTTGGGGAGAGAACACAGGCCTATGTTGAGAACCGAGCAAGGAGGCTGCGAACACATAGGACAAACAAGGAAAGCCTTAAAAGCCCCCAGGGAATCTGGATGTTATTCCGCAGGCAAACAGAAACCACCATTTCTGAGGCGGCACGAAGATCGGAGGTACGCATTAGGTGGAACTAATCCGCGTGCTTTCAGAGAAGACCTCAGAGAGCCACGCGTGCTGTACGTACCAGCGGATCGCTGATGATCTCCCTCCAGAAGTGGCACACTAAGCTCACGTTCCAGTAGAGATCTTCCACAGGGAGGAAAGCAAAGATGTGCCTCAGGACCTCACTGGGCAGGCTGCCCATGTGGCTCTGGGGTTCCTGGCAAGGCAAGGTCCCCAGGAGCCCATAGTAAGAGTCAGGAATGGGGTCAGGACCGACATCTTCCACTTCCTGGCTGGGTTCTCCGGACTCCGCAGAGGGCCGGGACACAAAGTCCTCTGCTTCCTGCCTGGCTTCCCGGGGTCTTGGGCATGACAGGAGCGAACGATGCCGTGGCGTTTTCTTAGAAGCCCCGTCCCACTGACTGGTCCCTGTTGCTGGATTCCTCTCGTCCTCAAAGGACCGGGACCGCTTCCTTGCAGGCGGCGCGGACCCTGACGAGCCCAGTCTGGCTTCTCCATCACCTTCTCGAGGCAGGGCACAGTTGCTCTCCGCGGCAAAGATCATTTCCCCCTCCGAGTCCTTAGAGGTGTCCTGGCCCACAGAATTGCTTTTGGCCATGTCATTGGTGCGCCGCTGCTGGCCAGCTAGGAGGAATTCAGTGCCGTACCTTTGACATCCTTGACCTGTATGGAAACCCAAACAGGATGAACAAGAAATGGACAGTGACCGCCGACCCACTGTGGACCCAAACGAGACCGGCTAATTTTTAATTAACGTGTATTAACACAGAGAAGAGAGGAGGATAGATTTAGGTCGAGTGATTACATACATGGCTTAATTGAAAAAATATTTCCATGTGGCTCTATCATATAGTCAGACACGTACACGGAAAGAGACAAAGGCCAGTCTCCGGCTGGTCTGAGGACCACATTCCACCTCGCAGTATGTACAAACTGAACACCTGAATGGACAGACAAAAAGTCAACAGCTGCTCACGTGGACACACCCACTAACAAAAACTCACTTCTGGCTCGCTCTTACAACAGAAAATTTAAGTTTGCATGAGTAGAAAAGGCTTCACGTTATTATTAGTCAGGAAAACCTACTCCTTTGACTCAGTTAAAATCCCTTTATGTTTTTTTCTTCCTGTGAAGCGAACATATTAATTTATCTTAAAATAAAAAGAAAGGAGTCAATATCCTTTTCATATTATCAGAGTGGTATCTAACCTAGTCCACACATTTATTCGATAAGTATGTATGCAGCACCTGTGATTCTGAGACAAATAGAAAGTGACACATGAAGATAAAAAAAAAAAAGGAAAGAAAGGGGCGCATGGGTGGCTCAGTCGGTTGGGTATCTGACTTCGGCTTGGGTCATGATCTCATGGTTTGTGAGTTCGAGCCCCATGTCAGGCTGTGCTGGCAACTCAGAGCCTGGAGTCTGCTTGGGATTCTGTGTCTCTGACTCTCTCTGCCCCTCCCCAACTCACGCTGTCTTTCTCTCTCTCTCTCTCTCTCTCTCTCTCAAAAAAATAAATAAACGTTAAAAAAAAAAGTGAAACATGGAATATACAGTCCCTGACCTCCCAGATTTTTAGGCACTTAAGGGAGTCCAAATGGTGATTTCACACATCACCGATGTATTTTAAACCCTCAGTAATATATACAACAAAATACATGACTCCTTCCTGAAATGGCTGTAGCCAGAATTCTTACTTTGGAAAATAAGAGAGTGGAACAAAACTAGATTTAGCCTTAACAGAATTTATAGAATTTAATATTTTCTACGTTAGGTGAAAAAAAAGTATAACTGATTCTGGGGCAATCTGATAGAAACCCAGAGTTTAAAGTCGATAGGTCTGGGTTAAATGCCGGTATTTTCCAATTGTGGGATTCAATCACACCAGTATCTGGAGAGACTGCCACATGCTGAGTGCTAAAATTCTGCACGGAAACATAGACATGATAATGAAGTCTTTGTCAGCAAAGAACTCACAACACAGAGAAGCTGAATATACACAAAACAAACAAAAGATCACCACTGGGTTTAAACTGCCTCATTAGTTGGTTACGGCAGTTCCAAAAGTGATAAACATATCAGACAATATTTAAAGATGACTAGGTAAGATCTGAGTTGGATTCTGAAGTTAAATCAAAGGGAAATAATGCAATCAGGATTACACTAACAGGTATTAGTAACAAAAGTAGGGTTTCGTTTGGCATAGAGAGGGATAATAAGAAAACCAAACTACCAGAAGTAGAACTTGCATGTAATTAATAAGTATTGGGTGATGGCCAAGTCTGAGCCTGCGTCCAGGATGGTAAGAGGGGAACATTTCGCTGCAGTGGCATGACAGAAAATGGTACTCAAGAATATTAACTTGATGATGTATTTTCCAGTTGATTTGGAATAAAACCTAACGGCATGGAGATAGGTTACTGCAGCAGCCCGGGTACAAGGCGACAAAGGGTGCAGCCTACCATGAAAGCACTAGATGAGGGGACCTTCTGGAGAATACTAATGGCCCCAGTGGACTTACTGACGGACTACTGAAAGTCAGAAAATCGCAGTGGTTTGACGCTGACGCACGTCTTCTGCCACGTTGTGATTAAGCAAGCTAACGGAATTCATTCAGCCACGTTTTCCTGGGGCTTTTACCAACCATACATAGTGGATGGAATTTTCACGGAAATTCACAAATAATGAAAAACGTGTCAAACTATTGCAACAAGACTACAAAATAACAGCAGGGATATTTACAAACACCAGGAGATACTCAAAGGCCACACACGCTACAGATTCTGAAATGGGAGGTATTTTGGGAAGACATACCCCTAGTCCCTCTTTTTGTTCTGGGTCTAGGATAGAGACCGTGGTTCGGGTCTCTGTTGGTCCATCTTTGACCGAAGGGCTGGGTCACAGCCAAGTGACTCCGAGCCAAATGTTGGCAGTCGATGGCTGTAAGATGCTTCCGTTTAAACCGTCTCACTGTTTTGTACCAACAGGCAGAAAAAATGGGACACTCGTTAGTTATCACCAACTCTACAAGCTAGCCAGCAAATTATACTTAACTTCCAGAACCACAGTCACTGTGGACCACCCCAGCCAGCCCTCTCCTTCGTCCCTAAATTCCCATCAACTTTCAGTCATTTTACAGTTTTCTTAGCATTTCTTCCTTAGAATTTAAGGAAGAACCCGAAAATAAGATCCTAAAATGATTCTTTTTATTTATTATACCTTGTGAAAGCCCTGCTCATGAACTGTTTATTCAAAAGGAATTTACCACTAATGGATAAATTAAGATCTGGCATCTCTTCCTTGACTTCAGCCAGGCCATTGATGTTCCCATAATAACCATAAATATTTCAGAGTTGGCTACACCTTTGCAAAAATAAACTCATTTGTCATCCCCTGTGCATACTAGCTTCTCTGAGTCCCAGAAGCAGAACACAGTGACTAATGAAACAGTCATTGTAAATTCCTTGAGGGGACCACGATGTATGCCTCTCCGCCCCCAGAGCATGTCAGTATTGGCATTGATGTAGAAGACAGGAGCAAAGCCCCCAAGTAGAAGAGAATCAGATACACTCTGGAGGATCTGCAGAGGAGGAAATTTCATACCCTCCCTTAGCAACGCATCACAGCACCAACTGTGCCTAGAATTCTGTCTCAGGGGTATTGACATTAGTAGCTTTACATTAATCGTTTCCTATCAGGATATTATTTTCATGTTTAACTGAGACTTCATGCCTCTGTATCTGTTAACACATAGAAGATCTAACTACCTCCTTATGGCATTAAATAGAATAGTTAGACTACTGTTCAGCATTTTGATTAGTTACATTTAAAAAGAAAGAAAAAGGGGAGAGAAAAGACAGGAATAGATAGGACAGAATTAAAGTTGTCCTTTCCAGAAGATGGTCAAGAAAGAATAAAAGCGGTTTTCACAGGTCCTAAAAATACTCATGTAAATCGTAGTGTCAAATGCCAGAAGCTCACTCAACATTTAAGCATGAAAATGTCTAAAACCAAGTCACTGAGGAGTATAACTATAGCACAATTTGTTTGTTTTTTTATCATTAATCCCCCTTGGCCCTTAACTTCTTCAGAAATGATCCTTCCAAATTTCAGTTCATTCTTTGAAGGCTTAACAGAAGTTTAAAAAAAAAAAAAAAAATCTTGGGCAATCCCTATCAAAATGACACTGGCATTCTTCACAGAGCTTCACAATCCTAACATTTGTATGGAACCAGAAAAGACTCTGAATAGCCAAAGCAATCCTGAAAAAGAAAACCAAAGCTGGAGACATCACAATCCCGGACTTCAAGCTGTAATCATCAAGACAGTATGGTACTGGCACAAAACAGACACATAGGTCTGTTTTCAACAGAATACAGAACCCAGAAATGGACCTACAAACGTATGGCCAACTAATCTTTGACAAAGCAGGAAAGAGTATCCAATGGAATAAAGACAGTCTCTTCAGCAAATGGTGCTGGGAAAACTGGACAGCGACAAGCAGAAAAATGAAGCTGGACCACTTTATTACACCATACACAAAAATAAACTCAAAATGGATAAAATACCTCAATGTAAGGCAGGAAGCCATCAAAATCCTAGAGGAAAAGGCAGGCAAAAACCTCTCTGACCTTGGCGGCAGCAACTCCTTACTCAACAGGTCTCCAGAGGCAAGGGAAACAAAAGCAAAAATGAACTATCGGGACCTCACCAAAATAAAAAGGTTCTGCATCGCGAAGGATACAATCAACAAAACTAAAAGGCAACTTGATGGAATGGGAGAAGATATTTGCAAATGGCATATCAGATAAAGGGTTAGTATCCAAAAATCTACAAAGACCTTATCCAACCCAACTCCCAAAAAAAGAAGAAATGGGCAAAAGACCTGAGTAGACACTTTTCCAAAGAAGACATCCAGATGGCCAACAGACACATGAAAAAATGTTCAACGTCACTCATCATCAGGGAAATACAAATCAAAACCACAATGCGATCCCACCTTACTCCAGTCAGAATGGCTAAAATTAACAACTCAGGCAACAACAGATGTTGGCGAAGATGCAGAGAAAGAGGATCTCTTTTGCACTGCTGGTGGGAACGCAAGTTGGTGCAGCCACTCTGGAAAACAGTATGGAGGTTCCTCAAAAAATTAAAAATAGAACTACCCTATGACCCAGCAACTGCACTACTAGGTATTTATCCAAGGGATACGGGTGTGCTGTTTAGAAGGGGCACATGCACCCCAATGTTTATAGCAGCACTATCAACAATAGTCAAATTATGCAAAGAGCCCAAATGTCCATCGATAGATGAATGGATAAAGAAGATGTGGTACATATATATACAACGGAGTATTACTCGGCAATCAAAAAGAATGAAATCTAGGGGCACCTGGGTGGCTCAGTTGGTTGGGCGGCCGACTTCGGCTCGGGTCATGATCTCGCGGTCCGTGAGTTCGAGCCTCGCGTCGGGCTCTGTGCTGACAGCTCAGAGCCTGGAGCCTGTTTCCGATTCTGTGTCTCCCTCTCTCTGACCCTCCCCCGTTCACGCTCTGTCTCTCTCTGTCTCAAAAATAAATAAACGTTAAAAAAAATTAA